TCCTAACAAGGATCGCTTCCGACCCACCCTCTTGGACGATGACCACCTCCACCGGACGCCACCAAGGATTACCCCGCATTCTCACAGTCTTCTTATTTTCATTTATGCACTTTCATGCTGCACACTAACTTTTTTTTCCTTTTTTTACAACTCTATGTTACCCTCTACTTCCCTCTCCACCCCTTGTTTAATTGGATTCGGTTACAAGGCTCACACCTGCGAAGGTTGCCAAAGTGATTAGATCCGAGGAGGAAGAGGGTCAGGGGGCAGTGGTCTTGTGGGGTGGCGGAGTGGAAGCGAAGTTCCGAGTCCTCCGCCAACTTTCTCACCACCGACATGTCACGAGGTACTTCAACCACCTCCGCAGGGGGCATGACCACCAAATCCTGATGATTCTTGGTAGTTGTCCACGATGGCTTCAAGCAGGGAATACTCACACCCACACCCCGGTGCTGTCCAACAACGGCCACCCCCTTTCCCGCCTACCTCACCCATCGAGACAGCAAGCCGGTTAGGAGCCGAATCTAATCACAGTTATCCCAATCTCGCATGCCTACTGTATTTACGAATCCTTCCTTCCACATACGCTACCCACTCGCTCCGTCCACTCTTTCGCTTGCTTAGCAGCACCTCATCTCGAACCTTGAACATGCTCTGACCTTCTGGCCGGGCAGCATGCTTTTATTTTTGGATCGTCTCCTTTTCCTTCATCTCTGGATCTGTCTGGTCTGACCCTTCCACATCTGTCTCGGACAGAGAAGGAGACGGGTAAAAACCCTCCTTCTAGCGGCAGAGCTCCAACCTCGCATACGCTCACCTTGCCCGAATCGAAAGAGCATAGCAGGGGGAGAAGGTAGAGAGAGGGAGCAAGGCAGGCGGAGGTCGGAGGCTTTGAGAGAAGAGTGCTGTGGCGTTGCGTCCTCTTTCCCCTTTTCATTCTTTCATTCCATCTCCTCTCTCTTGTTCTTAGTGGAGTTGGAGCTCGAAGATCCACATTCAGACTACGTTCACATTGAAGATATAAAAAAGCACTCTATCATCGTCCTCCTTCTCCGCACCACCCAACATACCAGATTCTCCCTCCCCTCTGCTAAGCAACATCGCCCCCCCCCCACCGACCTTTGCACAGCACTTTCTCACACCGCGAGAGCTATACTGCTGAACGATTCTCGGGAATCTATACCCCACAGCATACAAGAAGGAACAGAACAGGCAAAAATCGTCGCATCCCAGAGACCTCACAAGCAAAGACACTGAATCTTCTTCACAATGGCCCCAGCCTCTGTAGCAGCTGCACCAACCCCAGCCCACGATCTGCGATCAGCGGCTCCAACCCAAGCTGCAGCAATCGATGACCCAAAGGAAGCTGCTCTCCAGATCATCCGTCGTTATGTCGCCTCACTTCAGTCAGCACTCGACGCAGGTTCCGCTCCCCACGTTGCCAGTCACTTTAGTCAGGATGGGTACTGGAGGGACCTCATGACGCTCGAATGGGAGTTCAGGACCATTCAAGGTAGTCAGAAGATTCAGAACTGGCTCGAGGAGAACAACAACGAGAGACTCAGTCCCAACAAGGTCATTCGCAACATCACCATCGAGGAGCCCAGCGTCGCCATCATGAACCCTTTCCCCGGCGTCACTTGGCTCGTCTCCTTCTTCAACTTTGAGACCGCCACCAACAGGGGAAGGGGTTGCCTGAGAATCCAGCAGGACCCCACCGACGGTCAGTGGAAAGCATACACGTTCTTCACTGGCATTGAGGAGCTCAAGGGATACGAGATGAAGCACGGAGCCAACAGGAAGCCAGGCGTCGACCATGGCAACAACGTCGGAAGGAAGAGCTGGAAGACCAACAGGAAGGAGCAGGTCAACTACGAGAACGGAAGGCAACCTCAGGTCGTCATCATCGGCGGCGGACAGGCCGGTTTGACCGCAGCTGCTCAGCTAGGTCAGCTCGAAATAGACGCACTGATCATCGAGAGGAATGACAGGATTGGTGACAACTGGAGGAAGAGGTACGACTTCCTGGTCCTTCACGACCCAGTCTGGTACGATCACCTTCCGTACATGAAGTTCCCAGACCACTGGCCAGTCTTCACACCAAAGGACAAGCTGGGAGACTGGTTTGAGGCCTATGTGACCGCCATGGAACTCAACGTCTGGACATCGACCAAGCTCGAGAGTTCGGAGTACGACGAGGCGAGCGGAAAGTGGACCTTGAAGGTGACCAGGGGTGACGGCACCCAGAGAACCTTGACGCCAAAGCATCTCATCTTGGCAACCGGTCACTCCGGAGAAGCCAACATCCCAACCTTCAAAGGGCAGGAGAAGTTCAAGGGCAAGATTTGCCACTCCAGCCAGCACACCACCGGCGCCGACTTTACAAACAAGAAGGCGATCGTTGTCGGATGTTGCAACTCGGGTCACGACATCGCTCAAGACTTTGTTGAGCAAGGTGCCGACGTCACCATGGTCCAGAGGAGCAGCACCTACGTCATGTCGTCCGACTCGGTCATCAACATCCTCTTCAAGGACCTCTACTGCGAGGGTGGCCCACCTGTTGAGGATGCCGACCTCATCTTCCACTCGATCCCCAACTTCCTCCACAAGAAGATGCACAAGGACGTAACGGCCAAGATCGCCGAGTACGACAAGGAGACACTGGATGGGCTCCAGAAGGCAGGGTTCAAGCTCGACTTTGGACCCGATGACTCTGGCTTCTTGATGAAGTACTTCTCACGAGGTGGTGGTTACTACCTTGACGTCGGAGCCTCCAAGCTCATCGCTGATGGCAAGATCAAGATGAAGCAAGGACAGGAGATCTCGTGAGTGTTCCACCGACTGCTTGCCAACCCTCTACCGATGTGCCCACGGGATACTGATCATCCACCGCCTCTGTCGTCTCTCTCGTGCTCCGTATGAGCAGTCACTTCACCGAAGATGGTATCGTCTTCGCTGACGGCCAGGAGATCAAGGCTGACATTGTCGTCCTCGCCACCGGTTACAAGAACATGAAGACGACAGCCGAAAAGATCCTTGGAAAGGAGGCGTCCAAGACCAACGATGTCTGGGGCCTCGACGAGGAAGGAGAGCTCAAGACCATCTGGAGGAACAGCGGTCACCCTGGACTCTACTACATGGGAGGCAATCTCGCGCTCTGCAGGTACATGTCTAAGAAGCTCGCGCTCTACATCAAGGCCAAGGAGCTTGGCATGACCAAGTGAGGGGACCAAGTCTTACCAAGCCAGTCCTGTGTATTCAGCTCCCTTGCTTCCTTCCCCTCCCCCCAAACGCGTCTTGTCATGTTGCGTCTCTCCGCCAGTTGGGTGTTCTGGTTGTTTCTGGTTCTATTGGTTTCCTTTCCCATTTTGATATCCCCCCTCAGACCGCATTTGCTGTGCGATTCCGTCTCTCCGGCTGAATAGCGCTTGTTTGTGAAGATGTATGAATAGTTACGAAGAATGGCAACCCCTCCTCCGACACATCGCTTGTCCCCATCGTTTGAATCTATTCATCGGCACGACATCGATTCGTGAATAAAGAGTGTTTGTGGCGTGTGGGGTGCAGAACATTATGATTGTGATTGTGGAGGCCAGGTGGTGAAGCTGGAGAGGAACATATGTGTGGAGTTTTCTGGATCGCGGCAAGATCGTGGCGGAGCCCGATGGAGAGGATCATGTGGTCACCTTCACAGTGTCCAGCTCTACTTCCGAGCCAGCCACCCAAATTCTTTCTCCCCTTTCCCATCAACCATCCCGTCCTCCTCTTGACACCAAAGATAAAATAAGAATATAAGGTAAAGTTGGGAAAGCACAGATCAACGATCCCAGAAAAAGGCCCCAACAAAATGCCAATCTGCACCATCCAATTGGTGAAGCTCTCCTCTGAAAAGGTAGCAGTGGGAAGTAGGAAAGGGGAGAGGATCCGAAGATTCCTGGAAGAACTATACCGAAACGAAGAGGGGATCTTCAAGCAGTTGGTGATCGCTTCGGAGGTCAACGAACCCATCATCAGGGCAGAGAAGGTGGATGGATCCGTCTTGAACGGGACCGAATGGGATCTCTTCCTCCTCTTCTCGCCCGAGCTCGTCGCCAGCAACCAGGTGGAGAGGTTCTCGGAAAAGGTTTACCAGCTCAAGGTGGGGATCCCTTCCAAGATCCTCCAAGGTTACCGTTCTAGGTCTGAAGTCCTTAGGAAGGAGGCTAGAGAGGGGAAGCCTCTCTTCTCCGGTGTCGATCTGGAGGATGATCGATGGGGAAAAGGAGAGTGGCTCGGGGACGACAGAGTCTCTTCGAACCCAAACGATTCCACCCAGAAGCTCCAAATCTCTCCAAGACTGGTGAGATTCGGGAAGGGTTTGATCTCCAAGGGTCCACCATACGACGGTCCCGTCAGTATGCTCAACCTCATGAGCTTCAACCCGGGTCAGCAAGCCAAAGAGAGCTACCACAAGTACGGTAGAGAGTTTGTCAAGGTCGCAGGAAAGAGGGGTGGAGAGGCAAAGTTGGTCGGTGTCGTCGTTCCCCCCCAACAGCAACAACAACCCTCAACCGACCAACATCAAGCCCATCTTGGATGGGACGAGCTCAGCTTTGTCCACTACCCCTCCATAAAGCATTTCATCGACATGTCGGCCGACGAAGAGTACCAGAGGATCAACAGGGTTTATAGGTTGGGAGTGAGTCCCCTCTCCCCCTCCCCAATCTCATTTCCCTTGAAACCCTCACAGGCAACCCCTCAACCTCTTTTCCCTCGAACGCTAACCGCTCTCTGGCCCCGCGTACTTCTTCCACCAACAGGCTCTGAAAGACACGACCTTGATCTGCACCACCGAGATCGACCTCTCCGTATTCTCTCCGAACAGGGTTTCCTCCTCCAGACTCTGAGTTCGAATTATTCGCCTTTCCCCGCAGATCGACCAAACGCTGACATCGGTTTGTGACAAGAAATGTGAATTGCCAAACATTATACTGACTGCCAGCTCGCTCTCATCACGTGATGCGTGGGTGGTGTAGTGGTAACATAGGTCGTTGCCATCACAGGCGACCAGCTCTCCAGCGTCGGGTGTTCGCAACATTCGACCTGCCCGGGGTTCGATTCCCTGTCCACGCAGATTTTTATTTTTTACCTATCCCATTCTTTTGGTTTGCCGGTCTATCACAGAGTGATTCAACACCGTCAGAACATGGAATAATATGGAATTCTCCCATCAGAATTGCTACCGCAGCATTTCCCTCCTTCTCTACTCTTCAGATCTCTCCCAATCTCATACTGATACACTCAGAACCAGATACTCTGTAACTTGACGCTTGTGCCAGTCGTCACTAGATCACCCCTTCCTCAAAAAAGATTGCCGCATTTTACTAAAGCTTACAAACAATACCAAAAAGGTTAACGAGATGTAATGTGCACTTTAGATATATTTTCTTTCCACTTTCCTAAGCAAGTATTTTACATAGCTCTGTTTATAATTTTAGCTGAGATAAGAAAGCTTTTAGCCCAAATTAGTGAGAGCCTATTTTAGTGTAACTCAGAAAGGGCTTTAGATAAAAATAAGCTTTAAAATTAAATTTACCAAATTTAGTGGTAGGGCATTTCACCTGCCTTTTCTCCTTGTTCTTTCACATAATGAATGAATTTATCTGCATTGCTTCCTTGATCGAATAAAAACCAGCTAGAAAGATAATTAGAAGTAGAATAGTCAATTGCAACTGCTTTAGCCTTTCCTTGTAACTCAAAGGGTTGAATTTTTATGTATCCCATGTCTTTGCCCATGAAGACTTGACTTGGATCTAAACAACGCAATATATGCATTTCATGATTCTTTATTTTAAATCCTGGTACTAATGAAGATGATTCTCTACGTTCTATTGTCTTTTCTCCTTTGAAAGATAGAGCAGCAATTTCAAAACCGTCTTCTAAAGGATGAATATCTTCAAAAGATCCACTCAATGATCTTCCGGCAGTCTGAATCCATTGATTTACGTGCTGATTAACAGGATCCACAGTTTCTTTTGGAGAATCCATGGATATGATAAGTCCAGAATCTCTAAAGGAGAGCAAAAATGGAACCATATAGAAGATGACAAATATGAAAGAAAAAGGCTTCATTTATCTCTTCTTTGTCTTTCCTTTTGAAATTTTTTTTTTGTTTTTTTTTTTCCTCTAAAAAAGTAGAAAAGACAAAACATTTGAACAAATTTAAGTGCAAGTCATTACTCAGATGAGATTTACTTAACTATTGATTCATTGACACTTAGGAAATAAAACTTACTAGAAAGCAATTCTTGGATAGATTAATCAAATTTGAACTCCAAGGTAGAATGGAAAGGAAACAGTCAAATAGAGAGAAAAAGAAGAGAAATCTCACAAATTTTGAAAGTCAAAGTGATGAGAAGAAAGAATTATCTATCAAACCTCTATCTTTTATATCTTTCTTAAAAAATGATAAATCAATAAGGTTTAGGAATCTTTCTGAGAATGTTTAGAAGCGTGATGTTTTTAAAGTAAAATACACTATTTAGTTTTATCAATTCTGTCCAAAAGGTTAATTTAGCTTAAGTTTGTTTGAGGGACACTAAATATGGCTGATACTAAAACACTAAAAACTTGGTCACCTGATTTGATTCCTTTAGCTTGAATTTTCCTTTGAATTTTCTCATTCTTTATTCTTACGTGACATCATCCTTTCATTCTTCTCGTCAAAATTTATGTATTTCACTGGAATTTCTATACCCCATCTAACAGACATGTAAGATATACTTTGGGCCCATATTTTTTTTAACTTTCTCGTGTGAAGAAATTTTTCACACACCTTTGTTTCAACTTCATATCTAAGAAGAAGGCCTGAAGAAGCAGAAGAAAAAAGAGGAAGGATCACTTTCAGAGAAAATCAATGAATGAAGTAAGGATTCCAAAAGATGCACTGATTTTGAAAAATGTATTAGCTTGAGCATAATTTGCATTGATTCATGATGCTTGCCTTTCCCAATCTCATCATTTGAATGATCATTCAGAGCTTGACTCAAATTCAAACTTTAGCCAGAATAAAGCTCATCATACAAAAGCAAAGTCTGTTATAGTTGGAAAAAGCAAAAACTCGACCCACACCTGTGTGATTTTGAGAAGAATCCAAAGTTTTTTTTTTTGAATTCAAGTTGATATGTGGTCTAATTGAATCTTATTCCGATATCATCTGATACATTTTTGTCGCTTGTCTGTTGGTTATGCAAGTTGATATGTGGTCTAATTGAATCTTATCCCGATATCATCTGATACATTTATGTCGCTTGTCTGTTGGTTATAGTTTTCTCATTTTCTTACCTACAAATTTGACTCTTCCTCACTCTCCCGTCAGCAAGACTGAGAGAAGTTTGCCAAAGCCGCTTACAATCTGAATGGTTTGAAGATAAGGGTCTCCATTCCTCGTTCATTACAGGCTGGATTTCGAGCCAAGGAGATTCGTCAGTCTCAACACCGCTTCTTTCCAGCTCAGACCATGTTCCATCGGCTCTGGGAGCGATTATTTTTCCTTTGGATACGGGCTATCAAGGCGTTTTACGTGTGGATCCGAATGGATATACGCCGGCCGGTGGGGCAGGGACGCATGTTCTCACATCCTTCCTCACGTCATGGTGAAGGACAAGTAGATTCTCTTCCCATCGTTGCACTGGGAGTCTGTCCAAGATCAAAGATGGGCCAGGGACCTTGCTCGTACGGATTCGGACGGGAGGAAAGAAAGGGTTTCAACAACCACTCGAAACCCCCCGAAGAGAAGCCCCGCGATTCTCGGGGGAGCAGAGGAGACTTGACAATACGTCGCGGAGAAGAGAGCTTCCACTGACAAGGAAATGCTTCCTTTCAGACTGACGCTGCGACTCTCGATTCGGGGGAGCCTTGTCAGGGAAAGATGGCAAGGGGAAGAAAAAAATCCGAACCGTCAAGAGTTACCCGGCGGGGGTGCGGACACGAAGGATGGGGTTGGTGGTTTTCGTCAAGATTTGATTCGGTGACAGTGAGCCAGATGGTAGGATCGGAAGGGGATTCAAAAGAAGGAGGGGGGAAGGGATTCACGCACTCCGAGATCTCACCTTCCAAGTGACTCTTTAGCCCCGCGCCCGCGGAAACTTGTCAGACCGTTTCCCTCGCTCCACCCTCTCATCGTCATCGGACCTCCTCTCCTCTCGCTCACCCTTACCCCTCCTTCAAGCAGATCACGCCGACACCGCTCCCGAAATTTTCGATTCCATCAGGCTGCAAAACAACGCATGGTACAGCACGCACAGGAACGACACTGAGAAGGAAAAGGGTGGAGTGGGGGGGGGAGGGGGATTGGAACCAAAAGGGAGAAGGGGAAAGGGGGAAGGTGGTATCCTGTCGGTTCGGAAGGGGGGCACGGCTTGAAGCTTGGGGTTTTTTGCTTTTCCTCCATTTTTTCTCTCTCCTTTCCTAGTGACACCCCCCCCCCCCCCCGTCATTCATGCATCCTTTCGTAACTTTCTCTTTCTTATCCCCAAATCTTTTTTTCATCTTGTTCATCGTTTCCCCGTGGATGGGTTCTCGCGACGCGGTGAGAATTCTGACCCGAATGCAGGCAAGGCGGAGAGAGAGAGCGAGTTTGTGTGATTTGAGCCCGCCCAAGGGCAACTTGGTCAAGACTACCTCCTCCTATCGATATCGTTCAAGCTACCAAGGGAGGCTCTCCTCCTCCTCGTCCTCCCTAGGCCGCTCTCACCAGAGCCAGCGTTCTCCTCGAGGCCACCCCCATCCTCCTCATCATCAACATCCTCACTCCTCCCAACACCGCTATCGTCCCTTCTCCGGTGGGCGAGTGTGAATTCCGTGAATTCCTCCCTCCTCTGCACCGAAACCTCTTCAGACCCGGACGACGACACGTCCCGACCAAGCCCCCCCGGCAAGGCGGGACCGGCTCGATCGTTCGAGCTCCAGTCTCGGTTTGAGGAAGGGCTGGTGGTGTTGGGGGTGTGCGAAACCCTTATCGCATTCCTCCTGCTGAGCGAGTTCATCCTCCTGCTGCCTTGCGTGGTTTCGCCGAGCCTCCCCTCGCCCATTTCTCCTTGGTCGTCGAGATCGGTGTTTGTTCGAGCTACGGCCGCTGCTGTTGCGAGGGTCGGCACGTCTACCGAATCGCTCTGACGCGGGCCGTCCGTCGCCCCAACTTGGAGGAGGCCGTTGAATGTCGTGGAGCTGCTGTCGCCTTGGACCGCGGCACCGCTGCCAGAAGGCTCGAGCGCCTCTCCCAGAGCTCGTTGTCCGTTGCTGCCTCCACCGATGGGACCCTCCGACTCCTCCTCACCCCCTTCCTCCTCGCCATCCTCATCCTCCAAAAGCCGTGTGTTCCTGACCTGCCTGTCCAGAGCCCGGCTCCTCACCCTCGACCTGGCCAGGGAGGCTCTGAGAGCCGACAATCTCCAGGACGAACCTCGGTCCAACGGGTTGAGAGGCTGCAAGGACGGTAGTAAGGGAAGATTGAGGTTTGTGCTCATCAAGGGTGACTCTGTCAGCGTCGCGTTGGTGAGGGTGGTTGAGATTCCGTTCCTCGGACCCCCTCCCACACCGAGCTGGTCCAAGAGATTGGTCGAAGGCCAAGGTGGGTGGACCGAGCTTGGATTCGTGCCCCCTTCCCCCAAGGCTTGACCGTCGTCGTTGTCGACACCGAAAGCCTCACCGTCCGGGTCGTCGCCGCCACCTTCATCTTCTTCGTCGACCAAGAGATCGTTCTCGCTCTCGTAGGCCTTGAGAAAGGCTCCCAAAAAGTGGTGCTGGATGCTGGCTCTGAAGGCGTTGAGAGAGTTGAGGAAGGCAAGATGGAGAGCCTCGGCTTCCGGGGTCGTCATGGAGCCGTAGCCCTCGATCGCCAACCTCCTGCTCCCGGTGGAGGCGATCCCCCTCTGTGACCTCCGAAGCACCCTCCTGGATTCGGTGGCTTCAAGGTCGTCGTGGAGTTCGGAAACCCTCCTCTCCAGCGTCCCTAGGCTCTCAAAGTAGTCCTGTCCTACTGCCCTGGGAAGAAGCGAGAGAGTGTCGGCTCGTTCACCATTCTCGTCCTCGTCGGATAGGTGGCCCGCCACCCCATGTTGCGCCCTCGCTCT